TCAATTCCACATTTTGATTCCGATTACAGGTATGTAAATGTGCCATTAAAGTTCTTAGGTGTAATGATCGGCTAGGATTAGAACATGTTACGTCGTTAGATTTGTGCCTGTTGTCATGGTGGCTATGTAACTTAAGTGGTCCGTGTGCTGTGCACGTGACCAAGTCATGTGGTTTGGGTCTTAGTTGCAACAGCTATATCTCTCACACATTCCTTGTGCTGATGTAACCGAATCCAATAGAAATACAAGCAACATATCATTCCTTATTTCCTTCTTTCCTTCTTCTTCTTGCTGCTTGAATTTGAATCAAGCTCTTGTTGATTTCTTTGCGTCTAATTCGTAAAATCAAAATACAAAACTAAACACTAACATCGACATGGTCTCAGAGCCTAGTTTGGTCTGATTTTGGGGCGTGAAACTGTGATTCTGATTTGACTGAGTTTCGAAGAAGAACGAGTTGAATCGACCAGTTAAACGACTGGATTTGGAGCCAGCTGCGAGCTCCAGTGTCCACCAGAGTGAACTGTGACTTCTGGTGTATCAGGATGAAGACGATCTTCAAATCTCACAACCTGTGAAAGTTTGTAGATGAAGGATTAGAGCTTCCATATGAATCAGATGATGAACTCACTAATGAGAAGAAGATTGTGATCCAAGATCTTATTGCCCGAGAGGTTAAGACGTTAGGATTGATTTAGGAAGCTATGACCGACAAGATCTTTCCCATAATTGTTAACTAAGAAACTGCAAAGGGAGCTTGGGATGTTCTGAAGCAAGAGTACCGGGGTGGATTCATAAGTTAAAAGTTGTGAAATTGCAAGGTATTAGACGATATTTTGAATATGCTCGTATGAAAAAAGGTGAGTCCTACTCTGATTATTTGACTAGATTGTTTCGTTTGATCAATCAAATAAAAATGTATGGTGAAGAACTGTCAAACAAGATGATCGTTGAGAAATTGCTGATTAGTCTTTCTTCAAGCTATGATAATATTTTGTCTATGATTGAGGGGACTAGGAAGGTTGATGGAATAGACCATACTCAAGTAGTAGCAATGTCAAGAAATTTGAGCAGATTAGGCATGTTGAAGAATGAGAAGTTATAGAAAAGGCTTTTAATAATCTTAGCATTCAACCTAGGAATAGCTTACAAGCTGATGGTTGCAAAGAAATACTAGAAGAAGAAGGAGATAAAGGGGAATGCAAAGTCTAGTGATAGATTTGTCATTGTTGTGAAACAAAATGTAGCAAGGAAGGTTCAAAAGAAGGCTGCAAAACTTGTGAGAAATTGCATTTTGGTGAATGTTGGTTCAAAGGAAAATTAAAGAAAACAAATAGTGAAAATCAAAATGTAAGCAGGAGAAACTATGTTCTTGATGTCGCCAAGCCCGTTAATTTAGTTCCCACCATCGCTGTCGTGTCCAACTAGAGATGGACTTGGTGTCTCTTTCAAATTCGAGATTTAATTTGGATTCAATTTCCACAGGCGACGACTATGAGGAAGACTTTATGCCTACGGCATTTCAAAAGAAGATATTTTGTAATGTCTAATTTTTTATATTTTTTCTATCTAATTATAAAGATTTTTTAGGAGAACCTCTGCGTTACAAGGGCAATTTATTGATATGATGACAAAAAAGTTACACTTAGTAGAAGGGACATAAACCTTATCCGTCGTAAAGCAAGAAAAAAAATACACGAAAAGAAGGGGGTGGGGACATACACCTTACCCTTTGAAAAAGAAAATACAAAAAAAAGGGAGGAGACATAAACATTACCCCTCTTGAAAAAGAAAATACAAGAAAAAGAAGGGGGACATAGGGCCAAACCCTTCTAAATAAAACCTAATTGTAAGAACATACAAGACAAGCTGCAAAACAAAAAGGAAACTCCAAAAAGATTCAGTAAAAAAGAAAATCACATATTAAGAAGGGGAGATAAACATGTAGGCAAGCACACCTAAGAAATCTGAATGCAGAAAAGGAAGAATCTCTTTAGCAGATGTGACATGCCAAACAAGTGAAGATAAGAGAAGCCCTAAATAGGCTATTTTGTCAACAACTACATTCCTTTCTTGAAATGTATAAGAACAAAGGAATAAAGTGTGCTACAATCAGGAAATATAGTTTTTCAAACGTCTGGAGCGACCAAGGAGGAGAAAAGGATTTAGAAGCCCTATATAGGCTAATTTTTCTGCAACTGCATTCCTTTCTTGAAAATGTATGAGAGAGCAATGGAATACCTTGTGCTACAACCAGGAAATATAGTTTTTCAAACGTCTAGAGCGACCAAGGAAGAGATAATGAACTAGAAGCAAAATAAGATATCATGCTAGAAGAGTCACTTTCAACCATAAATTTTGCCAACCCTATGTATGAGCCAACTCCATAGTAAGGATGACAGCATGAAGCACCAATTGAAAGAAGTATGCCTAAAGCTCAAAGAGAAATCACAAAGAAAATAACCCACAAACACAAGCTATATGACCCGAGTTACCTTTAGTAAGGTCAACTGTATTCACTTTGACCCAAGGAATGAAAGAGGATGCCAAAGAATAGGAGCTAAATAAGCTTTATAGGATTCAGCCAAGATCCCAAGAGAGACGAAAAGTTGCTTATCCAAAATACCATGTAAATGACCATGAGTGAAATCTCCAACCTGCCTAATCCAGGCCAAAGTAGAACGACAAATGTGTAAAAAGGATTGAGGCTTACTTTCAAACTTCACTTTGTTATCCATCTTCCAATTAGCCATTAATAAGAAAGACCCTAATGCTAGCCATACATTCAAAGTTGTGGAGAAAATCACTTTGACACAAAAGCAAGCTATAAATCCGAAAAGGAACCCATAAGTGGAAGAATAGAGCCAAAACCAAACATGTTGTGCAAATTCACAACTAAAATAGAGTTGTGAGGTGGAACGAAAGGACGCAAATAATGGAAGCCCAACTCTTAACTGGAAACCGATGACGAACAATTTCATAGCCATTAGAAAACGAAAAAGAACTCCAAATGTAAAAGCTTCTCAAATTAATATGTCATTTTCCTCATCAACTGGAAGAGGCATGTCTAAAATCTCCTTAGCCAACTCTGGAAGAGTAGTAGAAAAAATTGAAAGAATAACCCATTTGCCCATACGAATTATGTTTGAGACCTTAGTGCGAGATAGAGAATAAGCAAGCTCAGTAGCACCAACGACCTCCACAATAGGTGTATACAAGCACTTATCAACCCAAAGAGAATTATTAGAACCATTCCCAACCACCCACTGATAATTTTGAAACAAGATATGGACAATGGATTTAATACTAGGCCATATATAAGATCACTTATAACAAGTAGAGTATAAACGACCATGTAGCTCAAATTGCTCTCGAAAATAAACACTTCATGGAGAATTAGAAGTAATAACAACCCTTCAAAGCTTTTAAGAGAGCCGTAGTATTTATAGAGCAAAGATCATGTAATCCAAATCACCCTCATTTTTCGGTCACAAGGCAAGTGAAGAAGAGAGCCAGGGGAGGAGGAACAAATTTTCTCTAGCTTCTCCCTTTATTGTTGGAATGAAGATTGTTCTCCAAATTTATTTCATCCTCTGCTTAAGGCAGAATTAAATAGGTGTTGGGGGCAATTGGTTTCCTTTTCTCAGAAGAGTCTATCCCCAAGTCAAACAAAGAGACCTACATCAAATTGGGAAACAACTCTACACACCCATGCAGTTTGGGACTTCTACACCTACTGCCCTTTTCCTACAGCAGGTGTGGGGGCATTTTGTGGAGCCTAAAATAATGCCAAAAATTCTAGAGGCAACATGTGGACTTTTGCTTAAGAAAGACAAGATTGCCCTCATTAAATGGGTAGGCTTCTCAAATACTCCCACCCACAGCTTAGCATCCCTGAAGGTCCAGCAGCTGAATACGGCTGCCCACATCTCATTTGCCCATGGCAAGAAAAAATCAAGGCATTAAAGATAAGAATTAAATACCAAATCCTATCTTTAATACATTCCCAATTGAAGATTGACTCCATTCAAGTAAGTAATCCCTATTATTTCATATTTAATATCTTGAGAATATTATCTTCATAAACCTTGGCCAACAGGATGCCACCACGTGTAGGGTAAAACCTTAACACCATGGCCGGCCCCTCCTCCTATAAATACCTCCACCTTTACCAAATTTCGGTAAGCTTTTGCTACCCCTAAAAGCCCTAAACACATACTTTTTTTAGAGAAACTTAGGCATCAGAGATCCATTGGTCTAAACCCCTCTCCCACCTCGTGGGCGCGTAAGGTTTAGGTCTTTGATCAAATGTGTTGACTGTTTTGTAGGTACATTTTCGTCAAAGTAAGAGATGGCGAAAATTGCATCGACGGTCTGATTATGTTTACTCCTAAGAAAAAGAAATTGCAACTACAAAGCACCCCATTTATGTATGAGCCAAAGCACACAAATCAACATCAAATAGATTGTAATAATGGAGTTGAAGAAAACACTTGCAAGGTAAAACATAGGAAATAGCATTCCCAAGTAATCAAATTACTGATACGAAAAGCATAGGAAGAAGAAAACACTCACGCCTTCGTGGAAAGCTTGGGCAGTAAAGAATACGAAAAACTAGCTTTAATCTAGAGTTCAAGATTAATTTAATGAAAGTAACAAGTTAATCAAAACAAGAGCGATATGAAACTAATAGTCACCTTTATTGAAGAGGTTAGAGCTTGCTGGTTAGTTGGGCGAGAGAATAGAAAGAAAAACAGAGAGATGGAAAATGAAGTAGGCTTGAGCTTGCGGTGGCTGAATTCCAGAATAATACAAGGATCCATGGCACCACAAAGTGTCTGAAATTTCAAACCATGCCATTATACAGAAAGATACATATATATATGTTTTTTTTTTTTAATTTCAAAGTATCCTATAATTGTTTACGGAAAAGCACATACATGAAATCAGTGGTCGAAACAATCAAAGTATGAATGTCGTATTGCTTGGAGTACAATGGACAAATAATTAGATTCAATACATTACAACAAGGAAAACATCTACAAAGAAATTATATTCTATATGTACTAAAACCCAAGCTTCTGGTTACTATTCTAGGGCAGTGTGCAGACCAAAATGCCCCTCAATTCGTTTGTTAAGCCAATTTTTTGCCATCTTTGCTACAGTAAAATGGCTTCCATCCTCTCCAGCTTCGATTTCTTTGGTTTGATTCTATGTGCCTTTCGTCGATCCGTGCTTTGGCTTTGATTGTTCTAGATGTCTTTCATCGCTACCCTCCTTTGCCACGCGTTAGTCGTCGATGATTTCAGAAGAGGGTATCCCTTCTTCGTGGACTACAGCTTTTCTCTTTTCTGGACTCTTCTTTCCAATTCTATCTCTGTCTCACAAACCTTCTCTCAATCCTGGCCTTGCTCCCCCATCTCGAGTTCTCTCTGTTTCTCGGCTTTTTCCAAAAAATGGTTAAGTCAGTAAAATTTGTTTAGATCCTTTTGTCGGAGGCTGCAGACGACAACGCTCGCTTGCTAAAAAATAGTCAGTTTGATCTCGATTTGCAGAAAATTTGGAGCGGATCACGTTTCCTGCTGTCGATTTGGTGTGGGCTTTGAATGTTATTTGCTTGGGAGTGTAAATTTGGATTTATAAACGGGTTTTTCATTTAAATTTTTTGGTTGTGATTTTGGGAATTTTGGCCTCAGATTTAATTTGGTTTTCTTTTTGGTTTCAGGAGATCCGGTTTTTCGGGTTTCTGACATTAAGGTGAGGAGTTTTGAAATTCTACGTTTTTTTATTCGACTTCCAGCCTATGATGTAATTTTAAAGCTGAAATTTCCGACTTTTTTTTTTATTAATCTTAAATCAGATTAGTTAATTATAGTTAAATAATTTTTTTTTTCTTTCTGTTATGCAGCTGAAGTAACTAGAGTTGAGAAATAACAATTGGAGCTTAGAGTCTTTGCATATGAAAGTTGAATATGAGCCTTTGAAAGGCTTTGTAAACGTGTTCTCAATTGTAGGGCATTGGATAGCAATTTTGGGCGAGTCTTGATTCCCCAGTGCACATAATTTTGTTTCAGTTTATTTGTCTACTTTTGCATTTCTGTGGAATTTTTTGGAAACCCAAATGATTCAGGATTGAAATTTATGTGTAAATTGATAAGTGTGGGTATGTCTAACAGAGTAAGAGCAGCATCCAGTTTTGTGATCAGTTCGATTTAGGGGTTTTGATTTAGTAAGGGGTATGGATAGTGTGTGGACAGAGATTAAGCTCTGTGGTGGGCAGAAACTATAGTGTATCTCCTATGGGGTTGTCTTTTTTGGAATCTCATTGTTTAAATCGGTTATGGTTTTTCAATTGTGATTAGTTGGATTTAGGGTTTTGCTTCACTGAGAGGTATGGATAGTGTTGACAGAGATGGTGGGCAGAAACGAAAGTGCGTCTTCTTTGGGGTTCTCTTTTCTGAAATCCCGTTGTTTTAATTAGTTATGGTTTTTCAATATTTCAATTGTATATTGCATTTGTTAATGCTTTGTTCTGAATTCGATGTTTTTTTGTTTGTTTGTTTGTTTGTTTGTTTGTTTTATGTTTGAGCAATCTCCAGTCTATGTGTTATATGGTAAAATGAAAGAAAATGAAATAAGCTTTGTTTGGTTGATGCAAAAGTCAAAGTAAAAAATTAAATTGTGAGGTGGTCATTCTGAGAGTATGGTTGTTTGCTAGAGTGTTTTCTCTTTTTATTTTTATTTTTATTTTTTTCCGATGTGTGTTATTCTTTTTTCTATCCCTTTGGGTCCATCTTTGCTATGCAAAAGATGAGCTGAGTTTGTATGTGTTTGGGCCCAAAATATTATGATTGGGCCGAGCAGCAAGATGTGCTCGGCCCAAGGTAATAACACATGCTATGGGCCAAATAATGAAACTCGGACCAGCTGGCAGGGTCGGCCAGATCCTATCTTAAGTAGTCCAGATAAATGAGGAAAGGTCGAGGAAATCCTGGTGCGACCAGGATTCTCGACCGGCAAGGGATAAAGCCTCAAAAGGAGGAGAATTCAGAATCCCAGTAGGACTAGGATTGTTCGAGTTAAAGGTGAGATGGGACAAGGACTCCCAATCCAAATCAGAATGGGATTCAAGGAGCGAGGTGCTATAAATACAAGAAATTACGCAATAGAAAAGACCCTTCATAATCAGCATACAATTGCCCTGCGCAAAACCTCTCAAACACCTTGAGATTTTTCCTTTTCTTTTCCTGCTGACACACCTTCAGTTTGGATAAACAGCACTGTGGAAGCAACCGATGAGCACCTTCAGTTTGGATAAACAGCACTGCTGCCGTAGAATCAGCCGACTGAGAAACACCTTCAGTTTGGATAAACAGCACTGCGTCGAGGTCGACCGATTATCTATCTAAGTCTCGGCCGAGAAGGGTTTTCGAACCTTTGTTGGTAGAGGTCATCTAACTAAGCCTTTTCGGCATAGTTGGGTGTTACGAGTTGCATTGATCGGCGTATTGGACGCCGAGTGAGTTTATGATTGGATACTCGCAAGTAAGTTTCAGGGTTCGGCATTCCGACGGCCGAACTACGTTTACCATCAAGACATACATCACATTCGAGTACCTGTGCCCATATAGTTTGGTCTCGATTCGGCGTGCTTATACTCTTACGAATATAATCACAGTGACCGAATCAGGGTCCGACGACTTGTGAACTCCGTAGAATTAGTAGCCTTGTCTTCAGGCTATAGAACCCAGAGACCGAGAGTGTTCCTTCCTCGGTCGCATTCGCAAAATACAGAAGTCGATAGCGCACCCAACGCGACATCACATTTTACTCCTCGGCCGAGCTTGGCCGATGAGTTGGCACGCCCCGCATTCAACCGAAAGACGTAGTTAGCTCATTAGTTACTCGGCCTGCGCGCCACGTAGGTTTTGTAATTTTTGTAGTCAACATTTTGGCACGCCCAGTGGGACCTTTGTGCTAAACCTTCGGAGTTCATGACCGTTGAGACACGGTCTACCAAGAAGAAAACAACCATGGGGAAGTCAACAGCTGACTTACCAGTGCAAGGCCTTGGGCAGGATTCGCACCCAGCAAAAAATCCGATAATTGCCGCGCCGCCCGAGGCCACAAGTGTGACGCGCCGAGAAAACGAAATTTGTCTCGGCGGGAAACCACAAAACGCGGCGATCCCGAATCAAACGACAGGTATGTTCGTGGAAGGGATAGTGGAAGATTGCGACGACGATGGTGGAGAAGGCTCTGATCCACCAACTAGGTCGTTTCTTCGGAGACGACTTGATGAACAGTATCGTCAGGTTGAGCACTCGATTGGTCAAAGGATGAATGATTTGCTAGAAGCAATACAGAGTAACAATGATACACAGACCAGAATGCTCGAGTTATTGGTTAGTAAAGCCTTCGAAGATGGCCCGGTTGGCCAACCTCGGCAGCTCTCGACGAATGTTCCCATACCAGCCGAGAGAGGGTCCGCTCGGCCGCAACCAGTTACCTTAGAAAGAAGGGGACCAGGAAACAGATCCGAGGGACCGAGCCAGGGAGAAGAAGCCGCTTCCGTGAACATGACCGAGGTCTAAAGGATGATTGATTCGGCCTTGAAGAAAGGGCCGAAGTTTCCAAAATTCATTCATCCATACCCAGCTTACGTAGAAAGGTTTGAATACCCACGAGGGTTTAAGATCCCTGATTTCAGCCTCTTCGCCGGGGAATCGTCTTTGTCCTCATTAGAACATGTAGCTAGTTTCACAGCGCAGTGTGGGGACGTCAATAGCGACTTCTACAAACTACGTTTGTTCAATTTTTCATTGACAGGCTCCGCCTTCGCCTGGTACATTAATCTTCCACCCAATTCTGTGCAGAGTTGGGAGGAGTTGGTCGAAAAATTCCATGAACAATTCTATCGGCCAGGGATGGAGATGTCTGTATCATCTTTGGCCAGGATTGCTCAAGCATCCGACGAATCTCCAATGGAGTACTTAACAAGGTTCAAGTCGGCCAGGAATTGGTGCCGAGTACCACTCCCCGAGGTGGAATTCGTCAGGATTGCTCTCAACGGATTAGACGTGGAGTACAAAAAGAAGTTCTTGGGGGCAAACATTCGCGATATGTACGAACTTGCTCAACACGTCGAACAGTATGATTATCTGCTCCGAGAAGAAAAGATATCAAAGTCGCCTTCACGGGGAACATTGTATAAGAACCCCACGGTTAGCTATGCCTCGGCTGAAAGCGGGGACCATCAGTGTGTTAGTGTGGATGCGGCCGAGATAGTAATAGACAAACCATACGTCTGCAAGGCTCTGGCTCAAGTAAATGGCAAAGACACCAAAGCCCATTTGGCCGCTGAGGAAATGAATAAGTCTTCGAAAGTCTATACTTTCGACATTACCAAGGCCGATGCAATTTTTGATCAATTATTGGCAGCAAAGATCATCAAGCTTCGGCCAGGACATATTATCCCTAAGGCCGATGAATTGAAGGGAAAGGTATACTGCAAGTATCATAACTCTAATAAGCATGCGACCAATAATTGTGTCGTATTCCGGGATACAATCCAAAGTTGGATCGAGAAAGGAAAGTTGAAATTTCCAGAAAAGCAGATGGCAGTCGACGTCAATCCCTTCCCGTCAACAACAATTGGTATGGTGGATGCTCATCTTCCAAAAAACAAAGGGAAGGCCGAATACGTCCCGGTGCAGCATATCCGTAAAGGGAATGGTCGAACAAGGCTAAAAATCGATCTCTTTTCGAATGCACCACCCACGAAACAATCGGGACCACCTGCCTGCGAGCCTACGACGCGGTCAAATACCGACGATTCTCATGGATCAAAGATTTTATGTGACCATTGTAGAACACCAGTTGAGCCTGGGAAAACATCTTCAACACCACCCAAGGCCCTTACCGCGCCAGTGACATCACCAAAGGAACTTGGGTCGCGACGTCAAGTGTTTGATCGACTCGGCCCACAAGTACGGCCGAGAGACCAGGCCTCGGTCAGGCGGCGTCTTGACTTCGACGCGCCTTTTTATAATGAGGATTATTACTCGCGCAATACCAACAGTTCCAGCTCATCAGCCGATCGCAAAACTTTCAAACCGCCCAGGACATCGGATCAACGCTGGTACAGTTACAATTCCCCGACAGGTTTATACACGGCGTTATCTAAATCCCAAAAACGTCGCCGTCAACGGATCGATTGCATGGCTCGGCGACGAGAAGCGCAGGCCAGTCCCACCAACCAGTGGCAACCAAAAAAGGCCATGGAAAGCGTAAGTGAACGGCCAACCCCGACTATCATGACCGAGTTAACCGAAGGGAAGAAAGTAGCCGCTGCCGGTTTCGAGACCACCATTGAGGATGCTGAGAAACGTATCAAAATCCTTCTCCGTCCTGGGGAAACTAGAGCTCGGCTAGAACACTTCACGCAAGAGGCCGAAAGGAAACTTTCCCCGTTACCACCGCGTGAACCGTTTATCAAAGTACGGCGCAACCTACATCCCCCATTCCTCGGTGAGTCCTTGGAATACATGCGAGAATTTCATAAGAAATACTCCGCCAATGACTTGTACGGACTACCCAAGGCGTGTCAGGAAGCCCTCGACCTAGCTCTCACTTGCCCCGATGCCAAGCAAATCATTCAGAAAACCTCCGACCCAGCAATTAAGGCAAGGTTCCAACATATACGGGAAGCTCGGGTACTTGGTTTTGAAGTTGATAATTATATAGATATTGACACCGCCGAATTACCTTTCTCGCTCAATGACCTTCAGCATTTGCGCTATCATTTCGAAGTTTTCTCGGCGGTATCGCTCTTCGGCCTCACGGCCGACGAAGAAAAACGGATAGCACGGTTGGATACATATCTCGACACAAGGAACGCCCGCATTGCCTATGAAGAACGAGCCCGTATAACAAAGG